TATCCAATAGGTGTTTGGGAAGTTGCTATTTTAGTAGGCTAAAATCTTTATATTTGGAAAGATGATTGATTTTTTTGGTATTTGGATGTGATGTTTGTGAGAGAAAAAGTAAAATGATTATGGGTTTGTCTTATTAGCTATTTTAGTCTATTTTGTCTTTTTGTGAATTTTAGCCCAAAAAGCAAAAAAATAGCCTTTGCCAAATAAGGCCTCAGTGGCAAAGCAGGAAGAAGGGAACTACAAGCATACAATTGCCTAAGACAACATTTGGCATGCGGGCAAACTCAGCCACAAGGGATCTTGAAATTCAGAAATTATAGGATGAAAATCAGATGTTTAAGAGAGTTTCTAATTGGAATAATGGGGTGAGAGTTTTTAAATATATATATTGGCTTGGGGTTTGTTGTACTATAGTTACATAAATTTTTGGCTGATGTTGAATCACTTTGATAGGGAAGTTTCATTCTTCATGATGGTCCTCCATATGCCAATGGTGATTTACATATGGGCCATGCTCTAAATAAGATTTTGAAGGACATTATTAATTGCTATAAGGTGTGATTTTCTGCCTACTTTCAACATAAACTTCTCTTCCTTTCTTTCAGATTAATGTTCATCCTTTCAAAATTAATGGCACATGGTCATACGATACATTTATATGTCTACATGATCCTTCAACCTTGCTTAGTTGAATTAAATAAATTCATATCCCTCTTTACTACCGATTCATAATTTTACTAAAGTTGATCCATCTTTGAGGTGGCTTGGCTCTATTGGAGGATGTTAAAATTGTGAATGCAATATTCTTTTGGTGAGCTTAATGGATGCCAAGAAGCATCAAGTGCGTGTATTTTGCACCCTCAGTGCATGCAATATTCAGATTGGTGGTGCCCAATATTGAGTGAGCATTACGACATTTCTCGACGTGTTGAACACTTTGGTGAGCGTTACAACATTTCTTGACGTGTACACTTCTTTGGTGAGCGTTACAACATTTCCTGAGTGAGCGTCACAACAATGACAACCATAGTAGTAGGAAAAGGAGGGATATATATATATATATACTATTTTATTTTCATTTGAGAGGAAATTTGCAACTTTCTCTTCTTTTTTATTTATTATTTTTTTAAACACACTAGTAGTTTTATTTTGTTGTACGAGAATAGATGCTTGAGTAGTTTTTTATTTTTGTTTATAACCTAATCTTTTTGATGCTTTGGCTTATTGGTAATGTTTTAATGTACCCAAGTATTAAGTTATCCCCAATTGCTTGCCAAAAATGGAATTCCATTTATAAGTTTATTAGGTAAGTAGCTTTCATCAGCACATTTGAACTAATTAAATGGTTTTGGCATGGAGTTTGGATTGTTGTTGATGTTATGTATGCAGCTACTAATGCTGATTCTCAGGCCTTCAGCAGGTGTTGATGTTTGGATTGATGTTAGGATTGTTGCTGTGCTAATTCTCAGGCCTTCAGCTGCAATTTCGCCTTGCTGCTGACAACATTTCTTGACGTGTACACTTTTTTGGTGAGCGTTACAACATTTCCTGAGTGAGCGTCACAACAATGACAACCATAGTAGTAGGAAAAGGAGGGATATATATATATATATATACTATTTTATTTTCATTTGAGAGGAAATTTGCAACTTTCTCTTCTTTTTTATTTATTATTTTTTTAAAACACTAGTAGTTTTGTTTTGTTGTACGAGAATAGATGCTTGAGTAGTTTTTTATTTTTGTTTATAACCTAATCTTTTTGATGCTTTGGCTTATTGGTAATGTTTTAATGTACCCAAGTATTAAGTTATTCCCAATTGCTTGCCAAAAATGGAATTCCATTTATAAGTTTATTAGGTAAGTAGCTTTCATCAGCACATTGAACTAATTAAATGGGATAAGTCAGATTTTTTGAACAAATGGGATAAGTCAGATTCGTATGAACTCTTGCACCTTGTTATGGGATTAATAATTTGAGTTTTTCCTCCAATATTACCAAAATAATAATAATAAATGAATTGAAATTTTGGAAAATATGATTCCTTAAATGTTCTTATCCAAAAATATAATTAGGCAAATGAATAAGAAAGAAAAGGTAAATGAGTTATGAATTTGAAAATAAAAAATTGCACTTATGGTAGGTAGTAGTAATTTCTATGAGCCATTCATTTATTATTATTAAAGAATAAGAAAGAAAAAGGAAAATGAGGGCATTTGTTTCCTATTACATTTTGGCTTGTTTTGCAAGTAAGGAAAAAAGAAGAAGTTAATTTAATGATTTTTTTTTAGTGTTTTTTTTTTTTTGAATAAATGGGTGAAAAAAAAAAAGAAAAAAAAAAGATGTGATCTAAATAAATCAATAAATTGGCCTTAATAATAAATTGGCCTTTTCCTACTTCTCAAAACAAGCCTTGTTTTGAAAAATAAGAAAAAATTTAATTTAATGATTTTTTTTTTTAGTTTTTTTTTTTTTTGGAATAAATGTGTAAAAAAATAAAGAGAAATGTGATCCAAATAAAATAATAAATTGGCCTTTTCCTACTTCTCAAAACAAGCCTTGTTGAAGAAAAAATTGGCTCTAAGTCATGTTTTATTGGTGTTTGAGGAGGGGATTAAATTAGTAATTTGTGAGATCCACATAATTTGTTTGTAACAAAATGATATGAGACCAGCAATATTATAGAAGCATGAATCCCTCATTAGTGGGATTAGCATTCCCATGGATTAGTAGTTAAAAGATCATTTTGTTCTCTATTTTACAAAATATCAAATTTATATAGTATGTGATAAATGGTTCTTTAGTAATTTTGTAAATTTAATCCAGCTAACACTATAGCCCATAAAAGTTTTAAAGACTAAATTTTTTGTCCTCAAATAGTCTAGTTGCAAAAAATATATGAAGATTAATTTCTATCGTTCCGAAAATAGTTGTTAAAAGGTTATCTCGAAAAGTTTAAAAAAAAAAAAAAGCTTTTAGTTACAAAATTTTGAATGAGTTATGCCAGGGATTCAAAACAAATTACCAATTTTTTTTCAAACCTCTCACATGAGTGTGAGACCCATACAAATCACGTGTGTGGGTCTCACACCCATGTGAGAGGTTTGGTTGAAAATTTGGTAATTTGTTTGGGGTCTATAGCATTTTTTATTTTGAAAATATCATTAATAAAAACATTTTTAGGGACAAAATAATTTGATCCTAAAATGATTTATTTTTTGGAGATAAATTTTGGTCCCAAGAATAATAATTCATCCAGTTAAAAAATAAATAATAACAATTCATCACTAAATGTCTAATTTCATTGCTACAAATATAATAATGACATTTTTGACAATAAAGATATTTGGTTTTTAAAATTTTATTTTAGCTCAGGTAAATGACAAATATACATATTGAAATTTAATTAAAATATGAATTGTTCTATATGGTTCTAGAAATTACATCCTGCTCCTTGAAGTTCGTAGTTTCATAATAAATGATTCCTTTTATTAATAAATTATCAAGCCAATTGATAGTTTTAAATGATATTAGAAATATCTTTGAATTAATAATTTAAGTAATTTTATTATTGTATTAGAGAGTCGTTAAGAATTTTATTTTTTAGTTAATTCTGTTAAGAATAATATTATATGTATCAATTGGTATACCAATTAGCGTGCTAACAGATGTTGTGACATAATTTTAGAGATTTTTGATATTTATAATTTTTCTCGTGTGGCCACACATGCTATGCACTAGAAAATAAATACAATTTTTAATACTTTGACTATTAATTCTTTTTTTTTGTTTTTAGGGAAAATTACACAAATAGTCCCTATAGTTTGGGACTTGTGTCATTTTGGTCCCTGCCTTTTCAATTGTGACACATTTGACCCTGAATTTTGAATCTTGTTCCAAATAAGGACAATTGAATATATAATTAGATTTTTCAAGGGTAAAATTGTCAATTTGATAAAATATAAACTAATTTGACAAAAATAAATGTCAAAAAAATATTTTTAATTTTTTTAAAATTATTTTTATCCACCAATGATAAAATTATGTAAAATTAATAAAAATTACATGATTAATTTTTAAAATTAATTTTACATGATCATCATCTAAACACATAATAAAAATTAATTTGGTAAAAAAAAAAAAAATTAATCATGTAATTTTTATTAATTTTACATAATTTTATCATTGGTGGATAAAAATAATTTTAAAAAAATTAAAAATATTTTTTTGAGATTTATCTTTGTCAAATTAGTTTATATTTTATCAAATTGACGATTTTACCCTTGAAAAATCTAATAATATTTTCAATTGTCTTTATTTTGTACAAGATTCAAAATTCAGGATCAAATGTGTCACAATTAAAAAGTCAATGACCAAAGTGACACAAGTCTTAAACTATAAGGACTATTAGTGTAATTAATCCTTCTTTTTATATACATGTGTACAAGCCCCAGGTGCTATATTATTAGTATTTTAATTAAATCTTTTGCATAAAAACACAAACACGCATTCACACACAGTTCATGGAATAGAACATCCAGCTTTTCATTTTTCTCATGTGTGCACTAAAAAATAAATACAATTTTTTAGTACAACGATAGAGAATAGATACATTAAACAGAGAGCATATTCATGTCATTTCCTTATTAATATTCATTGGATACTTCAAAATACGTATCTGATATTTTATATTAATTTTAAATAGTATCATGTACTTTTTGTACAGGTCACATATTCAAACTATTATGAAATTCAAATTGTTATTGTTAGAAAATATGCAATAATAATTTTTGTTTAAAATTTTTCTTATTTCTTACTAAAGTTAGTTATTAACTCTTAAACTAATATATAATTCTTAAATTGTTCTTTGAAATCATATATAATATAATACTAGAAATTATAAATAATAATAAAAAAAATAACGTATGCTGTTGTACTTGTATCATAATTTTTTTTATTTTTTTTACATTTGTTGAAAGATATATGGCGTGAGGACGAGGAGATGAAGCTAATCGATGTCCATAGACAAATATGTAACAAATGGGCAGCCATTGCAAGGGAAATGCCAGGAAGGACTGAAAACACCATAAAAAACCATTGGAATGAAACAAAAAGGCGACGATTCAGCAAGCGTAAAGGTCAGTACAGCTCTCTCTTGCAGGACTACATCAAGAGCTTGCTTTCAGATTCAACTGTCACTGACGGTCAAGAAAGCCCATCAATCAATTCTAACTTGCGAATCGTTGATAATACCGACTTGGAAGAAGACAATAAAGATCAGAAAGACCCAACTTCTAATTCGGATAAGGCAGTAGATTATCAAATTTATGAGAAAATGGCTGTTGAAAAAGATGATTTTGGATCGATGCTCAATGAGAGCAATAAAGCAGAGTTGGAGATGGAGATGGAGATGGAGATAATGCCAGCTGAGTTAATGGATAAGGAGATGAGCTTTGACATTAATAATAAGGATATGAAGTTGTTGGAGATGCTCTGTCAAGGAATCTTCTGAGCTAGCTGCAAAGTGGTGTTTGGATGTGTTTTATTTATTTCAATATCTCAAACTTTTTCTTAGTCTTTCAAATCCTTGTGGTTTTGGCGGAAAACTGAGTTAGGTTGTAGGTTTTGTTTGTCATCTTCTGTTTTGCTTTGCCGTAGTGTTTTGTTTTGCAATAATAATATGTTATAGTTTGTGTCAAAAATTCGGGTCCAATTTTGTGTACTAAGATTTGTTAAAGGTGCTCTAATTTAAATGTTGGGTGATGTTTGGGATACTAAATAAATAAATAAATAAATAAATGTCTCACATGGCGTGGGGTTCGCAATTTTGTGGACCCTACACTCATGTGAGATATTTGATCATTTATTTGATAAAAAATTGGAGACCTATAACATTTTCCCTAAATGTTAAAATGTCTCTCTCTCTTCTTGCTTAAATGACCCATTACAGGTAGCATACTCTTACCATTTGACTAATTTTTAAGCTAAATTACAATCTCAACTCTTGTAATTTTATTTAAATTTTACTTTAGTCTTTATTGTTTTAAATCGAACAATTTATTTCTTACAGTATAAGTATAATTTCAATTGATTCTTCAGTTCCAGTTAGAGATTAAAGGACCTCGAGTAATTGCCCAAGTAGTCATGAAGAGAGTACTTAGGTGTCAAGGTGAGTGAGATTAGAGCTAGGTACCTATAGCGGTCTCTCTCTAACTGAGAGCTTCTCTCTCTTCTATGAGGGTCTCCCTGCCTTAGGGTAGTTTCTGGGTCTCTCCGTCAGTAGCCCTCTCTCAATCACTCTTTCTCTCTTTGTTCTCCCCTTCCTCCCTCTAGTCCACCTTTTTTCATCGATTCGGCTCCTTCTCTGCCCCCTCCTCTTCGTTTCTAACCTTGTTATCCTCTCTCCATCCCTTACCCCTTCTTCCCTTCCATATGGCTTCGATCAGCAGTAACCCAGAGGTTAGCGACGAGTTGACCCTCGAGGCTGGTGGATGCGAGATTGAGATTGTCTCCAAGTTTTGTCTCATTGGGAAAGTCCTCGCACCCAAAATCCTAAACCGAAATGCAGTCTCCTCCATTATCAACGGTGCATGGAAACTGCGAGGTACCCTGAATATCTCCCCTTGGTCTGATAACATTTTCCTTTTCCATTTTACGGAGGTGGAGGACCGCAACCGGATCCTTTTTGAGAGTCCTTGGTCCATTATGGGTTCCCTCCTGGTTCTTCGTACTCTATCGGCCGGACAAACTGCAGCTGAAGTTGATTTCAATTGGTGCTCTTTCTGGGTACAGGCTCATGGATTGCCGTTCCATAATATGACAAGGCAAACCGGTGAGATTTTGGGTCGGCGAGTTGGCCATCTGGTCCATGTGGAAGCACAATCTGACGGTTTACTCCTCAACCGGAGCTTTCTCCGCTTCCGGGTTGTTATTAACCTTCAAGAACCCCTCCCTAAGGGTGTTTGGCTCAAACGCCCACAGGGTAGCTCGGCGATATGGGTTTTTTTCAAATATGAAAGGCTTTCTGACTTCTGCTATGACTGTGGGAGGATCGGCCACGACAATAAGCTTTGCAAATTTGTATCTAAGGAGCAAGGCCTAGCATCTGGCTATGGTCCAGAGCTTAGAACTGGGGCTGTTAAGAGCTGGGAACTGCAGGTTGATCAACTTATCAGGACGGAGGAGGAGATGCTTGTTAGGGCCAGTTCTCCCTCCAGTCACCGGCATCAGCACTCTGCCTCACCCTCCTTCGCCTCCACGGCGGCGCGTACTCTACCGGGCCACCAAGACCCAGTACCGCCTTCGTACACCTCTTTATCTGGTACAGCCTTGTGCGCACGATCCTCTGCCTTTCCAGAGACAGATGGCAGTGTCAGCTCGGGTACAGGTGGCATTCTCTCTACGGAGCCCCCTGGCTTGACCGTTATTGATATACCTCCAAGTCGTCCTAGTATTGAAGGAGACAAAATTGTCTTGTCCTCTCAGTCTCCCCACCAAATTGCTGATTCCCCTTCTCTGGACCTGACAACCAAAGTTGGGCCGGCCCTGGAGCGATCCACTTCTGCCTTGAGGTCCACTTCTTCACCCACTGGGCCTGCATATTATGTGACAGAACCACCAGACAGCCCACGTACCTCGACCCCTACTCCCCCCTCTGGCGAATTGGGCCTCTCACTCCAAACCCCTGGCCCTCCTCCACAACCACTGGCCCCTTCTTTTGCTCTGGATTCATGCCTTTCCAAAGCTCTTAAATCCCTCTCCCTCAAACGGAAAGACCCTGCAGAAATTCAACCCTCCCCTCGCCCCTCCAAGATGTTGTGTTGTAATGCACCCTCCTCAGTGGTCCCTCACATCTCTGAACCACCCTCACCTTCTCTGCTTGAAGGCTTTGGTCTCTACTCTCCTGGGCCACCAACCGCCAGCCAGCCCACTAATGCTCCAGTTCGTCGTCGAGGCTTTCGGGTTTCTCGCAGGCATACTCTGGTGGAAATTGCGATTGAAGAAGCTGGTATTCACTCAGATAGGGCAGCCCTCATGACCATACCGGTAAGTCCATGTACCCCCGGAACTGACCTCTTAGAATCACCTCCTTCTATTCCTACTCAGCTTGTAATTCCGTGTGTTGAGGCGGTGGTGGCTGGCCCTAAACAGCCACAAGGTCCATGTTAATCCTGAGCTGGAATTGTCAGGGGGTGGGGCGACCCCTGACATTCCAGATCCTCCAAGGGTTGTGTCGAACCCATCGTCCTCAAATAATTTTCCTCATGGAGACGAAAAATAATCAATTGAAACTGGAAGCTATCCGACGGCGGCTCCGGTATCCAAATCAAAGTTATGTGGACCCTGTGGGCCTTTCTGGAGGTTTAGCTTTGTGGTGGTTGGATGAGGTACATCTACAGGTCAGTTTTAAGTCGGCAAATCTCCTTAATTGCCATGTCTCTGATAATCTCCATCATTCCCCGTGGCTCGCTACTTTTGTTTATGCACCCCCTAGATGGACGGACAGGAGGGTATTCTGGCAAGTTTTACAAGCAATTGCACAGGACACCCATGATCCTTGGCTCTGTATTGGTGATTTTAATGAAGTGGGGCAGTCTTGGGAGAAACAAGGCAGAGTTGTTTGTAACCGTGCGAGGATAGAACATTATCAGAGGTTCGTATCGGAGTGTCAACTTATGGATCTTGAATACAAAGGCACCCCTTATACCTGGACTAATAACCAAAAAGGCATCTGCAATGTAAGGGAGCGACTGGATAAAGCTTTGGTAACTGTTAATTGGAGACTTTTATTCCCCCATGCCCAAGTTCATCATGAACCTTTTCTCGGCTCGGACCATTGTCCCCTGCTTCTTCATTGCCAAATTCCTCCAAGGAAAGTGCCCCACCAGTTTAAGTTTGAGTCTATGTGGACAACCCATCCTGAGTGTGAAGAAATTATTAAGGCAAACTGGCTGAAATTTCAACCGGGCTCTCCAATTTCTAAAGTTTGTTTCAAGCTCCAAGCCTGTCAAAGAGGTCTGTCCGAATGGAGTAAGCTGGCCTTTGGAAACAACCGAACAAGATTGACGGCTCTGAAAACCAGACTTCATCAACTACAGCTTCTCCCCTATTCAGATTCCAACGACTCCCATATTCGTCTCGTGCAAGCTGAAATTGAGATGGTTTTACTAAGGGAAGAAATGTTCCAACATCAGAGGTCTCGAATCAATTGGCTCAGTTATGGGGATCGTAACTCGGCTTTCTTTCATGCTTCGGTTGTCCAGCGTAGGCAGAGAAATCAATTGGTCAAGCTCAAACTAGATAATGGCGTCTGGTTAGAGACTGATAGTGCCATTAATGCTCACCTCTCCTCTTACTTTTCTCACCTTTTTCAAGCAAAGGGACCTAGAAATTTTGAGGACGCTTTGGCAGCGGTGAATCTGTCTGTGACTCATTCAATGAATGACACTCTTCTAAGGCCAGTCGATGATGATGAAGTCAAGCTTGCAACCTTTCAATTGGGTCCTTTAAAAGCCCCAGGGCCTGATGGGTTTCCCGGTCTGTTTTATCAAAAGCATTGGCATGTGGTCGGCTCCGAAGTGTGCAAGGCAGTTCGTACCTTTTTCCATACTGGCCGTTTACGCGAAGGTGTAAACCACACTAACCTTATCCTTATTCCCAAAGTGCATGCCCCAGAAAAACTAAGTCAGTTTCGGCCTATCAGCTTCTGCAACTTTTTCCTGAAAATCATCACAAAGGTGCTGGCCAACCGATTCAAGGTCTGTATCAAGCAACTTATCTCCCCTCAGCAAGCGGCTTTTGTGCCTGGCCGCCTCATCCAAGATAGTATTCTAATTGCACACGAGGCCTTTCACTTTTTAAAACATAAGAAGCAGGGGCGCCGGGGCTCTATGGCTTTGAAACTCGACTTTAACAAAGCTTATGACCGTATTCAATGGGACTTCTTACAAGCTACTCTTCTTCGTTTGGGATTTCATCACAAATGGGTTCGTTTGGTCATGGAATGTGTGACTACAGTGGAGTTCTCAGTGTTCGTAAATGGCGAGAGGCGTACCTCCTTTACTCCATCATGTGGGCTTCGTCAAGGTGACCCACTCTCACCATATTTGTTCCTCTTGGTTGCTGATGTGCTTTCTACTTTAATTCATCACAGTCTTCTTTCCAATGCGATCACGGGAATCCGGATGCGTAGGACATGTCCCCCACTATCACATCTGTTTTTCGCCGATGATGCCATTATTTTCTTTAAGGCTGAGCACTCTGAAGGCCTTCATATTCTGGAAATTTTACGGATCTATAGTGAGGCATCTGGCCAAATTCTCAATTTTGCTAAATCTGGAGCTCTTTTCTCGGCTAACACCTCAGTCAGTGCTCGTCAGGCCTTGTGTCTTCTGTTGGGTGTTTCTGAAGCTAATCCTAAAGCCAAATACCTGGGCCTTCCAGCTTCATGGGGCAAATCTAAGACTGAAGCCTATAGTTTTCTTCTGGAGAAAGCGTTGCTGAAATTACAAGGATGGAAATCCAACTTATTATCTCCAGCAGGCAGAGAGACTCTCATCAAGGCAGTTGTTCAGGCTATCCCCTCTTACGCGATGGCCTGTTTTGAGCTCCCTCAAGCGTTTTGCTCTAAGCTCAACAGCTTTATTCGTAATTTTTGGTGGAAGGGAGATCCGGACAATAGGGGCATCTGTTGGGCTAAGTGGACACATATGACTAATCCGAAATCGGAAGGGGGTATGGGATTGCGTGATTTTAAAGATTTTAACCTCGCCCTTCTGGCCAAACAGGGCTGGAGATTACTGTCTAATCCGGACTCCTATTGGGCTCGAATGTACAAGGGACTTTATTTCCCTCATTCTTCCTTCTTACAAGCTACTAAGGGCTCAAATGCATCATGGGCATGGAACAGTCTGTTAAAGGGTCGCGAGTTGATTCAGGCTGGTATTCGGTGGCAAGTACAATCTGGCCAGCAGATTCGTCTATGGGAGGATCCGTGGATTCCGTCCCTTAAAGGTTTCAAAATCCTTTCAGCAAAGCCTCCCACCTGCGATGTTCTGATGGTGGCAGACGTAATTGATCAGGTTCATAAGTCTTGGCATTTGGACCCACTGTTGCACTGTCTTTCCCCAGCCGAAGTTGCAGCCATATCAGTTATACCTATTGCCATGGAAGGACGTGATGATTCGGTCATTTGGCACCACAACAAGTCCGGCCTCTACTCAGTTAAATCAGGATATGCTCTCGCCAGATCTCTTAGGGACTGGTCCTCGGATACCTCCCCCTCATCCTCTATATCCCTCGTCCATAATATGTGGAAGATTATTTGGCGATTAGAGACTCCACCCAAAATTCGGCACTTTTGGTGGAAAGCCTGTCATAACCTCCTTGCAACCAAAGCTGGTCTTTTCAGACGCAAATGTGGCACTTCAGCGGTCTGCCCCATCTGTCTTTCTGCATCTGAAACAGTGGAACATTTGTTGTTTGATTGCTCTTGGTCCAAAGCTGTGTGGTTTGGAAGTTCCCTTAACCTTCGGATAGACCTTGGCTCAATCCCTAATGTGTCTCAATGGACCAGTGATATCATTAGCCAAGCCTCCTCCCTCTCTGATGCCAAGGCCTCCCTCAGCAAAATTGCCACTGTGGGTTGGTTCATCTGGAAATCGAGGAACGAGTTCGTCTTCAATAATCTCCCAGTGGATCCTATGGCAACACTCCATCGAATTGCTCACTCATGGACTGAATCGACAGACCTTTTCAGCACTATCACCCCTCAAGAACATCGGCCTACTTCTATGTCCTCTTCCCCTGTCTCAGGCTGGATACCAGCCAGCTTTGGTTCTTTCAAGATAAATTGCGATGCCTCTTTTTGCCAACGGACCTCCAGGGCTGCCATTGCAGCAGTTGTTCGGGATTCCAATGGCCAACTAATTGATGGTAATGCCAGGACTGTTTCGGCCTCTTCAGCCTCCCAAGCTGAGGCTTGCGCTGTCCGCATGGCTTGCCTTATGGTTAAGGCCCATAACTTGTCCTTTGTGGAGATTGAGAGTGACAACCAAATGGTCATCAAGCTGTGTGTTTCAGAACAGGTTCCTCCCTGGGAGTTGAGTGCCATTATTCTGGATATTCGCCACTTCGCTTCTGTCTATCATCTCTCCTTTTCGTGGACTCACAGATCCAACAACCGGGTAGCCCATTGGGTGGCCACATCCCAAGCCTCTCAGGTTCTTCCTGTCTCCTGGGCAGGGTTTCCACCAGATAGTCTCTTATCCTTATTATCTACTGATGTATCTCCTGCTAATGCAGCCTCTGTTGTTGGTTAATAAAATGTTTCGTGCCTTTCAGCTCAAAAAAAAAAAGAATTTAGTAATCCTGGCATAGAACTCACTTTTGAAAAATGACTTGCAAAGGAGGTTATATTACAAAGCCCCCTAAATTACTTTATAGTAAATGATATTGATAGTCTTTACAATTTGTCCTTTATATCATTTTAATTCTTCTAATTTTAATTAGTTTAATTTTGATCTTTAATTTTAAATTTTATATCAATTAATCTAATTGATAACAAGGATTTTTTTTTAAAAAATAATTATTAAGTTAATTGAAATTAACTCACTGAGTTTAATAAATTTATAATTTTACTTAAAAGTATAACATATGCCGCTTATGTGTGCACTTTTCATAAAAAAATACTAACTATTGTAATTAATTGGAGTAAATTGTGACAATATCATAACTTCATAATCAAAATGGAACCAATTAAAATTTTACGAACCAAAATGATATAAAGATGAAAGTATAGAGGCTACCGATATAATTTGTTTTTATTTAAATTATTTCAATTAATAATTGTTCGGACAAAATGTAAGAAAACCATCCCAACCTCCCTAAATTAACCACCCCTCCCACTAGTATATATTATGTGTGAGTTCATATATCAGTTGAAGCTCTCCACTCTTCTTCTCTCTCCATCATCATATCCATTTTCCAAGCAAGTCGTCAATCAAGTCCAAGATGTTCACAAGTAGTAGCCCTGAGCTTCCCCAAAAGTCACTTCAAATTAAGCAGGATGACAAGTTCTTCTCTAGACTTGAATCTAAGGAAAGAAGCTCCATGGGTAGCCCATCTTTCAGAGTCTACTATGGTGGAGTCTCTGTTGCTGTCCCATTCTTGTGGGAGTCTCAGCCTGGTACTCCTAAGAATCCACTTTGTGACACTTCTCTCCCTCCTCTCACTCCTCCTCCCTCCTACTATTCCAATATCTCTAAACCCACAAAGAAGCACTCAAGGTCCAAACTTTTACACACCTTTTATGGTTTCGTTTTCGGAATTTGTTTTTTTAAAAATAATAAAAACTAGTTTGGTGAAAATAAACGAGGAAATATGCTTTTGAGTTATAAAAACTCTTAAAAAAAGGAAAAGAAAAGAGAACAATGTGATATTTCAGAAAATAGATTCTGAAAACGAAACCAAACTGATTTAGGTCTAGAAGCTCATGTGCCATTGCCACCCTCTTGTTCTTTTGTGTTTTTGTTTTTGATTTTGTTTATGGTGGGGTTTGGTTTTCTGGTTCATGTATGGTAACCAAAACTATAGCAATTAAAATGTTTTGTGTTAGCTGTTGTTGTTGATCCAAAGAAATGGATAATGTAATTTTGTAAATCATCTTATTTCAGTATTTCACCATTTGTCCTCTTCTTTTTCTTCTCCTTTTCTGCTGCTATATTTTGCATATAATCCATGGAACTAGAGAATGTGGATGAATTTGGAACATTTTCAAACCACAACAGACCTAGTTTAAAAATAAAAAAATAATAATTTTATAAATCAAATTGCAAAGGCAGTCACCCTGTAATAAATATCATTCTTGTCCAGGAAAAGGGAAGGGTCCTTGTTTGAGGCACGAAATCTTTTGTTTTAAGAAGGTGCTTGTTACCTGTCACATGCAGTCACCTGATTTGATTTTTATGTAAATTGAATTATTAAAAATTACGATTTAATTTTCATGTAAATTGAATTATTAAAAATGTTGTATGATTGTGAGGGATTACATAAAGAAACGTGATACATAATTTTTCGGAAAATGTTATAGATCCTAAATAATCTATCAAATTTTTTATCAAACCTCTCAGAGATCCATACAAACCCACATGTGTGTGAGTCTCATACTTATGTGACAGGTTTAATAAAAGATTTGATAAATTATTTGAGATCTCTAATGTCTCTCTAATTTTTCATCCTAAGTTCTTCTATTGTCTTAAAACATAATCATTGAATTATGCTTTAAAATTCTCATATTCAATAAATTATAAAATAAGTATTTGTGACACGAGTCAAAAGAATTTGAGAAGAGATGACATTTTTTGCAAAACAAACCAACCCCCCCTTTATCTGCCTTTCTATACAGGTGTCAATCATTCATTCATTAAAAAAGGAGGTCAGGCTTGTTTCATACAACTTCTAACAAATGAAAAATTAATTGATAATCAGATCTAGAAGTATTAATTTCTTTGCTTTTCAATAATGGGTTTTTTTTTTAAATTTTTTTCTTACCCCAACAAACAATGACATGAATTTTCAAGATTTCTCAAGTGAATACTGATCATTTGCATGTAAATATATATACATATATATAATTATCGATCTATATTATATGATAATGCAATTTCCCAACCCCACATATAAAGATATATATGCTTTAGGACCACCGACAGCTTGAGAGGGGTGCACTTTTTTTTTTTTTTTGAACAATTGATAGGGATGTACCTACTTCATTAAGAAAAGAAAATAGTTTCTCATTTGGTACTTGATTTTTGGAATTCAGTAGTAGAATCAGATAATCTTTCAGTGTGTCTTCTTTTGTTTGATTAATCTAATTTCAACAGGAAAAAATGGGTTGTGTTTCTTTAATCTCAGTGTTTAATTTTGGCTCTATCTTATCCTCCTCACATATTTGGAGGGGAGTGAAGGATGCTTGTTTATAGTACAATTATGCTAGGACCCCAGCACCCCATTTACATTTCATTGGCCACTTTTTTTTTTTTTTTTTTTTTTCAATCACCCCCCCCTACAGGAAAATTTTCCCTATCCTCTCGTAGGTCCAAAGCGGAGCGTCCTTTATAGAGATCACCAAAGTGTCTTGTTATATTATACTAGTAATAATAAGATAATTTAAAAAATAAAAAATTATGCGTATTTATCATTTCAAAATTCGAATCCTAAATTCATCATTGGTTATATTGATGTGTGGTTAGCCTAACTTGCAATGACACTATAATAATTTTACAATAATCGTATGAAAAATATTACTATAAACACCCTTACCATATGGATAATAACACTTATGTTGTGTTTGATTGGAGAATTTGAGAAAGGATTTGGAAAGGAAAATAGAAAAAGTAAGTGAAATGTGAATAAAATATATCTACATTTCACCTAATTTCACACATATTTTTTTTTTTAAATCTTTTTTCAAATTCTTTAACCAAACACAACATTAAAATAATAAACATGTAATACACCAACTAACCCCTCTCTCTTCCTCAAGCAGGGCACCAGAGTTATTAGTAACACCACACCCACGTATCTCTCTCTCTCTCTTCGCAACCGTTGATTCCTTTCTCTTTTTCTAGCATCTATCTTTCTCCTTTAATTTTACTATTTAGCCTTTGTTTGGTAAGATGGTGGAGACTAATTTACATACTAAAATATAAAATAAACAAAAAAATCAATAAGATAAAATATCACATTTTAAACCATAATCATTTTACCTTTTTTTTCTGACAAAACTACAAAAAAATTAAAAATTTATCCCAAACGAAATTTTTTTAGCCAGACTAAATTAGTCAAAAAGTCAGACTAAAAATGTTTTTCCTACATAAAGCCATAAAAAGAGGGCTACTAACTGCCCAAACCTTTTTACTTTGGACCCCCCATTTTTAATTTCATTTTATTACAATTTTGTCATAACGTCAAATTTCAATTTTGTCTCCATCCCCATCTTCCCAAGTCTAACTTTAACCCTAATATTACCACCACTTCCATTCCTACTGACACCTTCCAGTGACTAACCCACCACCACTTCCACTTCCACCAATTGCCTCTAAACTACCACTTCCACTTCGTACCGTCACGACGCCCACTCTCTATGACCCTGATTATCGCAATCTTTATCCTCACCAACAACCTAGATTCAAAACTAGATAGATGAACAACCCAGATTAATTTTCTTTTGCAATCTTCATCTTCATTCTTTGGAACCTACTCTCTTTTCTCTTTTTCGTGTGTGACTTTTTTTCTCTTCCCGTCGATTTTTCTTTTATCTCACCGTATGGTCGATTTCTCTTTGTTCAGTTACACAAAGCCGAACTTGTTAAATACGTTCGGTGCTCCACAACTAAACATATGCCTTTTGTTTGGATATATACTACTGAACACCAGGCTTTTATTTAGAATTGGTTTTTCGAGTGGCGGTGAGAGTGGTTTTGAAGGCAAAAAGAGGAGTTGTGGTGCCTGCTAGAATGTGGGAGAAGTCCCAGAAGAGCGAGGGTCGAAATCGGAAGGAAAAGTAGGGGGTTGTTCGTAATGGAGGGACGTTGGGAGAGGGTCGTCGGAGTGAGAGGGGAACAATTGGAGGAAGGAAAAAGGAGTTGCAGGTGTAGGAGTGGGGTTCAGAGGGTATATTTGGGATTATGGTAGGGTCCAAAAAAATAAAAAATAAAAAATAAAAAAAAAGAGAGAAGCAATTTTGATGGTGGGGGCCAAAGAATTGGAAAGTCCAAAATAAAAAGGTAGAAACATTTAGGTAACGTTTGGTAACGTTTACGTTATTAGTTTATATTTACAAAAAATTTATAAACTTGTTTATTTTTAGAAAAATATAAACTACAAACACGTTTGGTTTGAACAAAAAGTTGAAAAATTTTAAAAACATAAACTAAAAAATATGTTTGTTCAGGCCTAAAATATTTATATTTATTTTTTATTATTTATGACAATGGGATCATACACATTATAATTGAAAAAAAAATTAATTGGAAAAAAAATTATTTGAAAAAAAACTTAATTGGAAAAAAAATTATTTGAAAAAAAATTAATTGGAAAAAATTATTTGAAAAAAAAATTAATTAAAAAAAATTGTTAGTCAAAATTTTAAATTTCTATTTAAAAACTAACGTATCAGTTTACGTTTTTTTTCTTAAATTTATAAACTGAATCAATCATTTATAAATTAAAAAAATTATCAAATAAATTTTTATGACAATTTTTAAAATTTTTATAAATATAAACTAGAAATTAAAAACGAAATACACTTAAAAGTCAT